AACAACCGCCTCAGCAATTCCAGCAGCAGCAACAACCGCCTCAGCAATTCCAGCATCAGCAGCAACCGCCTCAGCAATTCCAGCAACCACAACAACCACCTCAACAATTCCAGCAACAGCAGCAACCGCCACCTCAACAATTCCAGCAACAGCAGCAACCACCACCTCAACAGTTTCAGCAGCAACAAATCCAGGTTCCACTTCCTGATCTTCAGCAACAGAGACCTCCCCCGAACTTTCAACAGCCGCCTGCTAACTCTCAGGCTCCGTCCACTCTTTCTTCAGGCCAGATGCCCCCGATGTCCGAGGAACAGCGTCGCCGGATGATGGAAATGCGTGACCACCTCAGGCAAATGCGTCTAGACCTAGAGAAGAAGGGGTCCCGCCGAGTTATGGAGTTCGAAAATGAAGATGACTATCCTGGAATGCCCAACAGCCCTATAGAAAGCATCGAAAAACGGGGCCCTGGAAAGCGCTTAAAGAAAGATAAACCAAAACAAAGCGATGAAACCCTGGAGCTTGACTCAGTTTTTTTGCAGCCTTCGGTCGATCACGATGGCAAAGTGATTCCGTCCCACATGCTCACCAAGAACCAGGACGCTGTCGGTATCACTGTGGCTGTTAGGCCCGGAACAAAGGACTGTTTCTTTTACACTCCTATAGCCGATTTCGAAGTCAACTACCAAGTTAGCCTTTATTGCTACTATATTGGGAAATTTCAGCTTTGTTGAATTCACTATTTTCAGATTTACTTCATATCGAACTTTGTATTCAACTAAGTTTGATATATCAGCGATCCCAGCCGAGGCTTTAGAATAAGCTAAGAAAGCATAATTCCTATTTTTACTTAGCCTCATTTTTTTTCATAATAGGATCTGATGTTTGTTGATACTCCTTTTTATTTGATTAAAATGTAGGACTAAGTTTGTGATTTAATCAAATAATATCTAGAAAGGCTTTATCCATCTTGCTCCTCGTGTTATCAGTGGATGATTCTCAAATTAATTGAATAACCTTTTTTTGATTAACTCATGTCTATGCACAAAGGTTTTTCGAATTCTCTTAGACACTTTACAATGATGAACACTATTCTATTCCTAAGCACAATTATTGGTTTATGCTGAGCTTTTCGCTCATGACAGACAGCTTTCAAGTGTAGAAAAATAATTTTTTCAGGTATTTGCTACCATTTTTTTCCGAATTTGTAAGAATAATTAGTTTACCCTTTGCTGTAATGTTCATTAAATTGTATTACTATTTAGGCGATTATATGAGCATAAACTCATCATACTTCCTTCAAATTTACTTAATCTTACTACTGTTTATTTGACCTCACTTTCGCAAATTGGTCGGAGTGATAGATTGACTTTAAGGAACGCACATAGTCTTGCGTCATTTGCCATAGAATTCATGATAATTTCCGGTATAGGACCTTTAACTCTGTACATTCCCAGACGGTCATATGCTGGAAATTATCATGAATAATGTCAGATGGCATAGGACTATGTACGCTCTGTAGGATGTTCTTATCGCTTAGGCCAAGTTAATAAAGGGAGGTTGTTTGACCTTGTTTTCGCAACATGTTCACATTGGTAGGAAGACTTGTTGAAACGCACCTAGTCCGGGGTCCATTGTCTGCATGATCATTTCCAAAGTTGAACCGTGGACGTGGAAC